TTAGAAGCAGACTCATAGATTTTTAAAAAATATTAAATATGGCCCTGGCTGGTGTAGCTCAGTGGATTGAGCATAGGCCTGCGAACCAGACAATCATGGTTTGATTCCCAGTCAGGGCACATGCCTGGGTTGCAGGCCGATTCCCTGCAGGCCAGTTCCCAGCAGGGAACGCACGAAAGGCAACCATACACTGATGTTTCTCTCCCTCTCTCCTTCTCTTCCCCTCTAAAGATAAATAAAATCTTTAAAAAAATATTAAATATGTTGTTATCCATTACCATCATTACATGCCCATAAGTTTTTTTATTTCTATTTTATTTTTTAAATATTTCACTTATTTATTTTTTGAGAGTGAGGATGGAGGGAGAAAGAGAGGGAGAGAAACAGCAATGTGTGAGAAAAATATCGACTGGTTTCCTCTTGCATACGGCCAACTGGGGCCCTGACCCCCAACCCAGGCCTGTGACCTGACCGGGAATTGAACCAGTGGCCTTTGAGTTTGTAGGCTCAATCCACTGAGCCACACCAGCCAGGGAAAGTCTTTTTAGTTTTTATGACTGTATTTACTGTTCATGGCTGCCCTTTTTTTTTTTACAGTCTTTTGCTTTTCTTATAATTTTCATTTCTTTTTTAAAAAGCTTTCACTAATATCTGAAAAGTTTTTTCAATTGTTTTGTTGTTGTTGTTGTTATCTCGAGTTCTTAGGAGTCCTAATTTTGTTGTAGCTGGCTTTCACTATGGTACTCATTGTTCTGATACATGTAATAGGTTTTTATTTTGAGCATATTTTCAGTGAACTTTTAAAGAGTCTCTCTCCCCGACCTGGGAGTCTTGCGTGACCCCCCCTGTGGGGGTGGCCCTTCAGGTGCTTTCATGTCGCTTCAGTTGTGTGTGCCAGGATATCGTTGACTTGGGGAATCGTAGGTTAATTTCTTATGTTTCGGATTCCTGCGCTGTGATGGGGTCAGTCTGAACTCTATTCACACTGGGCCCTGAGTTTTCAATAACAGAACAGTATCTTTATTCCCATAGGACACCTTTCTTTTGGAATCCATAACTAATTTAGCCAAGTGTCTAGTTCCAACCATATAGGAAAGAGCAACTGCTTGTCTCTGTTTTTATGTTAAGAGCCGGTGAAATATTCTGAGTGTTGGGATCACAATCAGTAGAGCATCTTCAAGAACGTCATGGCCCAGGCACACCCCCTCAGAGCCCCGGTACCTGGTCATGCTCGAGAGTGAGGGGCGAGTTCAATCACTCCCCACCCCTGGGCACAGATGAGGCAATGGGCGCCCACAGCGGGCGAGTGGTTTGCCCACGGTCACGTGACTGGACGGGCTGCAGGGAGCAGGCAGTCAGGCCTCCAAGTGGCTCCTTTCACTCAACCAGTATTCAGTTACCCAGGGACTGGGTCCTGCCCCAGGCAGCTCTGGACACCCACAGTGCCCTGGCCCTCGCCTCTCCCTTGGGGTGCAGAGAGGAGCTTGGGTGGGAGCCGAGGCCCAGACATGGCAGGCGAGCTGGCTATCTGCGGCCTTCCTCCCAGGGGTTTATCAGATGCGCCCTTTGACACGTGTTGCTGGGTTATCTGCACAATCAAATTTTTGAAAAAGTGCTTTGAATCTTTGATTTATCTTTTTGGCATTGTTTTTCATAATAGTTTTCATTCAAAGGCAAGAACATGCTTTTAAATTGACCTTTCAAACTCTGTAATGCTCGTGCTACAAAGGGACACATGAAAGGAACAAAGGGCATATTCCCCAAGTGTGAGTGCACTGGAAGTCTCCTTGGCTGACGAGGTCTGTGGGAAACGCGCACGAGGCGTCTGAGACGGGCTCTTGTGGCTGACGGATGGGGCCCTGGGTGGAAGTCCCATGACCGGGGCCCAGCTGCTCCCTATGCAGCCGGAACATGGCCCCACCCTCTCACCACAATGCAGGGCCACCCTCATGCCTCATGGCTTTGCCGTCAGGAGCCAGAAGGGCCACCTGGGAGGTTTGGATTTTGTCCCAACGGGTCCACAGGAGCCATGGAGGGTTCTGGGCAGGGAAGGAAGCGTAAAGTAGAAGAAAGAGTGAGAGAGAGCATTTGGAGACAGTGGCCTAGGTTTGAGTTCTGGCTCTGTCACTTCTCAGTTGTGAGACCTCGTGTGAGTCATCCAACTTCTCTGAGGGTCACTGGATACCAGACATTCATTTAGGAGTGTCGCCTCAGTGCTGGGTGCACAGGACACAGAGGTGGCCAGTAGGGTCCCACAGCCCTTTGTTCCTTCCTCCTTGGTTATGTCCCTTACCATGGTGTTGGTCTCCCGTGGCTGCCATGGCAAATTAGGACAAACTTTGTGGCTTAAAACAATGTGCATTTACTGTTTGTTCTGGAGGACTGAAGCCTGAAGTCAGTTCCACTGGGCCCCAGCCATAGTGTGCGCAGGGCGAGTTCTTTCTGGAGGTTCGAGGGGAGAGTCCGTTTCCTTGCCTGTTTCAGCTTCTAGTGGCTGCCCACAGCCCTGGGCTTGAGGCCTCTTCCTCTGGCTTCGCAGGGCATCACCCCAACCTCTGCTTTCATCATCATCACCAGCTCATAGCTCTCCTCTTCTGTGTCGAATCTTCTCCTGCTTCCCTCTTGTAAGGACACTCGTAGTTCCATGGGTCTCACCTGGAGAATCCAGGCTATCCTCCTTAACTTAATCCCACTGGCAGAGTCCTTTTTACCACATAAGGGACCATTCATAGGTTCTAGGGCATGGATTTTATTGGGGGCCAGTATTCAGCCTTCCATATCACCTCGTATCGCAGTTTATGTCTGTTTATTTTCCTTGGGCAGAGGGACAGGCCTGCCAGATAACTGCCACCTGTGTGCTGGGTGAGTGCGTGGAGAAATGAATGGATGTGTGCTTTGGAGCTGAGAACACAGCGACATCCCCCCTTGGGCTGCAGAGGATTAGTGTGGGTTTCCCAGATTAGTGTCTGGGCGAAGTGAACAATGTAGGAAAAGATACAGGGGCCTGGGCCCAGAAGGTCAGCATGGGGGGGAAGCAGGGGCAGTGTGCGGGTGCAGAGTGGGTGAGCTGGGTACTGGGCGGCCAGCTCATAGGTAGCCCACAGGGCACCGTATTGGGCCTGGATCTGACTTTATAAGGAAGTGCTATATGTGGGGGGCCTTTGGAGTTGTCACCTGGGTTCCGATTCTCATGCTGCCACTTGCTTGCTGTGTAACTCTAGGAAAGTCATGGGACCTGACTGAGACTCAGTGCAGTACCTACTTCCCAGGGCTGTTCCAAGAGGCAGAGGACTTCTGCTGCTTGCAGAGCATTCAGTGCTGTGCCTGGAGCAGCTGGAGGAGTCAGATAACAGTATTTGCTGTGTTATATCATTGTCATTTTTATGAGTATGGTTATTGATGATGATGGTGATTCGGAACCTTTGAAGAATGTCAGCCAGACAGCAGTATGGTCAGATTTTCTGTTTTAGAAAGATGCCTTTGACACCCATGTGAAGATGTGGGGGGCTGGTATGGGGCAGGGTGTTCCACTGGGGGGTCCGGAAACCAGGTAGGAGGCCACTGCAGTGACCTGGGTAAGAGAGGGCAAGGCAGAGAGCAGAGGCGTCGTGGCCCGTTGGATGTTGTGCAGATGTGCGGAACAGCTCCTACCGTTCTCTGCACGTGGAGCCTGTTTACACCTGTGCCTCGGTCACCGCTTCTCAGACAGGGACGCTGATGGGCAGTGGGGGAGGGGCACCTCGTCTTGGTCTCTGGGTGAGATGGTGACAGAGGTTTAGACAGAGGTGGGGTTCAGGTTCTCAGCCATTAGTGGTGGAGGAGCCGGTGGGGGATGGCAGGCGGTGGCTTCTGGTGTGAGAGCTGGGGCCCCGGGAGGGCTGGCTCCGGCTCTGGCTCTGTGTTGACCTTTCACATCCTCTGAGGCCCGTCCATGCCTAGGCACCTCTCTCCTGCCCCTTCTTTCACCATCCCCACAAAGATGCTGCAGAATCCTGGTAGCTAGAGCATAGGGGCACGGCTGGTTTGAATGTAAAAAATGGTTTGACAGGTGGGGAGGCCAGGGGGAGAAAATGGCCTGACGAGTGGGAGGGAGTCGGAAGGGCTCCGCGCCCCAGCCCCAGAGTAGGAAGCCCGCAGCCCGGAGCAGCATGTCCTCGGGGTGGGTACTGCACGTCCTCGGCCATCTCCCCTCACGCGCCTTCATACATCTTTAGGAGGAAGCCAATTCAATGGAACCTGCCGTGGTGAGATTACAATTGTTACTTCAATCATAGCTTACCCTGCAGGGATGTTGGAGGAAAAGATATTTCAATGCGACCATCAAAAGAGCTGTCATTTTTTAACACAGTAAACAGGGTTTTCAGAGAGTGATGTCATACTGTTATTTTTAATACAGTCTTTTAAGAAAGTGGTTTTACTTTAGTTCAGATGGATGCATGCTGGAGGGGGGCAGCCCTAAAGAGGAGTGAAAGCAGGTAGGCCAGTTTAAGAAAGTTCCTCATGCATACACTGGAGTTTACAAGTCAGAAGCACAGAAGAGTTTTTCGGTAGGAGAAGGGTACAGGACAGGTCCCTGGGTGCCTTTCAAATGGTGGCTGGTAGCTTTATGGGAAAGCCAGGAGGAAGGACCCAAAGGCAGTGGGGACGAGACCAGAGTGATCTGTGTCATGGCTGCATGGACCCATGTGCGTGTTTCCCAGCAGTGTCACAGTGACACCAGCAAACTGACTCATGCTCGGTTCTTGACAAGCGTCAGACTGCACTGTCTGGTGTGTGTGTGTGCGTGCATATGTGTGAACACAGCATCGAAAGGCACCTTGGAGTCAACTTGGTTCCATCCAGCGGCACCTTTGGCTCAGAGAGGGCGAGTGAGCAACACAAGGTGCACAGAGGGCCAGGGCCGGAGGGCACCGCTCCAGCCCCCCCACCCCCGTTCCCCTAGGTGGTTTGCATCTCCCTGCCGTTCTCCTCTGATACATTGCCATTTTCTTTTTTTCCAGGAAGAATCAGTTGCCAGTGTCCAGCAAGGCCGATGGCGAGCTGGGTGCCCTGCAGCTCGGTAGGTGTGACCGAGCCTGTGTGCTGTGCCTCCCAGGGCCCAGGGGCCCTGGGCTCTGGAGGTGCTGGGTGGTGGGGCGCTCCACGGATGGGGTGGGGCTTCTTTCTTCTCCTGTAACCTCAGGAAGCTTCTCTCTTTTGGGTTGATGTCTTCTTGTACTCTCTGTCTTCCCCTCCCAGAGAAATCCTCATAAGAATCTGCATTTCTACATCCACATCCGGGGCGCAGGGCAGAGGAGTATTCCCTGCACTTGGAGGTTCTCTTAGAGCCATTCAGAACTTACAAAGGTCTCCAGAAGACCATTCCCAGTCAAAACTTTAGTTCGGTTGTGCCTAGGAAAGCCTGTTCTTCTGAAAAATGCGTCTGACTGGGGTGTGCACTGGGGACTGTGAAGTGCAAGTCTTTTTGCACAACCGAACTGTCTTTTTGCCCCTTTCTGTGATTCCCTGCTGCCTGTAGACTGGGGCATTTGCAGGGGCAGAAGGGAGGGTGGCGCAGCAGTGCCCAGATAGGAGACGTGGAGGCGTGCGTGCCTTCACATCTGCTCTGCTTCCAGGAGCCAGCCGTTTACCTGTTGGGCCATTTTGGCAGAGAGAGCTGCTCACACATGTTCCCTACCCCGTTAAGCATTTCCTTTCAACCAAAGGAAGAAAGCTGTGTGCCCGGGAGTGTTTCTGAGTGAGACGGGCAGTCTTGTGGCTTGCTTTGATGAAGTTGAAAGGCAGGGGTTTGTTTACCCTGCTCAGCTCACTCCAGAGGTAATAGTTCCTCAGTTTTAAGCATTGGCAATGGCAGGTGGGGGTCGCCTGTCCTGTCCAGGAGAGGGCCGCACTCTGCACGTGGCTGTGCAGACGTGAGAATGGAGCCAGGAAGCGCTGGCGTCTGGGGCCTTTCTGTAGAGATCCTCACTTGAAGATTTTCTGCTGAAAGCCACTCCTGTTTGGACATAAAGCCAAGCTGTTCCCGGTCTTCAGAGCCCAGCGGGCTTCTAATAGAAGGAAGGCTTTTAGCAAATCTCTCAGAACCCACACTTTGAAGTGTGTGTGTTTTCCAGAGGGAGGCAGGCCCCTCTTGGCTCGTGGATCAGCTAAGGATTTCGAAAAGGAGGAGAGAAAAGAGCCCGTGGAACCCAGTCACCAAGAGAAAGGGCAGGGGCTTTGGCATGGGGGCAGGAAGAAGGAATCCAGTTTGATTAGAAGGACAGCATGCTCTTCCCCACCCCAGGTCCTGTCTCCTTGGTCCAGTTCAGCAAACGTGTCTTGGCCATCACGTGACTGCTGCAAGAAAATGGCGGGGAGTCCGAGTGCCTTGTAGGAGGGCAGGGTGGTGGCACAAAGGAAGAAAGGTGTCTTCCCAGTGCAGCACGGAAAGCATCTGACCCACAGTTCTTCACTGCCGCAAGGGTGGACCAGCCTAGTTTGGTGTGGGGTTTGGGAAGCATCCGTGGCAAGCTGGGATTTAGACTGAACTTTGCAGGGTGGGCAAGGTCTGGCCAAGTGGAGCTGTGAAATGAGCTTCGTGGGCCAAGGCCTGGAGTGTGAGACAGAGAGGTTGGCTTGAGGTGACCTGCAGGTGGGGGAGGAATGGGGCCCTTGGAGAGGAGGCGGGTGTGGACGGGGGTGGTCTTGGGTGATGTGTGACAGAGTGTGGCTATCAACCATCGGCCAGTAAGGAAGGGTGTGCTGGTGAGGGAGGCATCCAGGGCCATGTGTTTGGGGTTCTCTCTGCGTGTGCGGGGGATGGATTTTAGGAGTAAGAGCCGGGATGTTGGGAGACTGGTGAGGGGGCTTTTGGAATGGTCCAGAAAAGAGGTGATTGGTCACTTGTTCTGTATGGGGAAGTGCTATGGGCATTTGAAGACCCTGCTCAAATATTCTCCTCCCATGGGATGCTTCCCTGGCCTTTGAATGAAGAGTTGTTTACCTCTTTCCCTCTGCTCTGCAAACCTGTGCACTCCTCTCTGTCTCCCCCCTGCCCAGGCAGGGGTCTCCTTGAAGGCATGGGTCATGTTTTAATCCTCTCCTCTTCTCTGTCCCGTCTAATCCCTGGCATGTGGTAAGTAAAGTGCTTGATGAATAAATAGAAAAAGAATGACACGTTCCCGTAACAATGGAGAGAGAAAGGGCAGGGCAAGGCAGGAGGCATTCTGGAGGCAGAATGGTCCAGGGGCTGGCGCAGTGTGGCATGTGGGACAGGGTGGGGGGTCTCAGCCAGGTCCCCAATGGGGGGCTTGGGGAGATGGAGTTTGTTACCAGAACCAAAGCCGGGAGGAGGGGGGCTGTGTTACTTCCAGAAGATACCTTATAACCAGTAAGAACTACCGAGCAGGCACCTAGAGAAAGATGTGTAGGGGCCTCATATATTTTCCTCTAAGGGGTAAATAAAATGGGAAGGGAAACAAAATCTCTTGCTTCCTTTCAACCAGATATTTGTACTGGGACCTTAAAAATAGCTCCTCAAAACCACCAGCATTTGTAGACGGTTGTGTCCACTTGGCTGGCATGTCATTCGGTAGGGCTTTGTTTTTCCTTGCATGGCGGTCCTGCCGCATCTGGGCCCGAGGCCTGCCATGTGGTCCTGAACCAACGCCCTGAACAGGGGCCAGCGTCGTCCTGGCAGAAGCCAAAGCAGGCTGCCGCCGAGTCCCCAGCCTCCACCCTCAGACGTACTTCATGGGGCCCAAGCAGAACGTGTTTCAGCTCTGACTCCCTCCCAGACAAACTCAGACTAAACAGAAGCCTCCAGACAGGCTTCGGTGTTGCCCCTTCAGTTCCTCCAGGCAACAGTCTGGCCTGAAGCATTGCAAGGAGCCCTCCGGGGCCTGGTGGGATCACTCGGGTTACTCTGTCCCTCTGTTTTGGAGCTCTGAGGTCTATGGTTGAATTATTTGTTTCTCCAGCAACAATTCTCAGTACCGATCTTTACAAAGCCAGCCCTCCCTCCCTCCCTCCCTCAGTCCCTCTCTTCCCTCCCTCTTGCCTCTTCTTCCTTATTTTCCTTTGGCCCCACCCCCAAAATTCCCCTGACCCTTTCCTCCATAAGCAAGCATTCCCACATATGCAGTCTATTTCTTGGGCTTGTGCATGTCCTTAAAAAATGTGTAGTGTTATTTGGTGTGCATGTGTTTGTGATAGATGTGAGTCCCATCTGCTTTCTTACTTTGTCTACCCCGTGCTACGTTTTTAAGCTCCTTGCATGTTTTTGGGTGAACATCTGGTCTTTATTACAGGGTATTTTTTGTAAGGCCGTGGTCACGGGTGGCTTTTTCAGAGACCCTAACTATGAAAGGTTCTCATTTAAATCCCAGACTTATTAAAACATTGTTTTTCAGACTAAAAGTGGAATCCACCTCCTTTTTGGTGGACTGAGCCTCCGGGTGCTGGCCTGGGCTGTGCCTGCTCCCCTCCCAGGGCAGAAAGGGCGGCAGTAGGATAAGATGTAAGATGTGTCCTGGGGCTCTTGGCCTTTGGACGCTCTCTCCAGAAGGTGTGGGGCAAGGGCAGTGATGTGTCTACAGCCCCAGATGCACAGAATTATGGGAAAGAATGTTGATATCTTTCAGTGTGGTGCGTTTCTCGAATTATCATTTAATCTTGGGAAAATGGGGGAAAAATAGGAGGCTCCAGAGGTTCCCCAGAGAGTGGCTGGCTCAGCCCTACTAGTGAGGCTGCCCCGGGCAGTGTTCTGGAGAACGGTGCGGCAGTGAGCGGATGGCGGGAGAGAACCTCAGCTGCTGGGGAAGTAAGTGTGGGCTGGGGCTGCCAGGACTCACCCAGGGCCCTGTCTAGGCCTCAGTCACCCCAGCTGTATGGTGATTGCACCTGGAATGTGACCTAGTGTCCCTTCTGCTTGGAGGTCTAGGGACGTCTGGCTGGTAGGAAGGCCATGCAGTGAAGAGTCGGCCTGGGTTTTATCCCTTCTCTGCTGCTTCCCATCTGCCTGACTTTGGGCTGGTTACTAGCCTTCTCTAACTCTCAGTTTCCTCATCTGTCAACCAGGGAGGAGGGATGTGATAATTACTCCCTCGGGGCTGTTAGCGGGTTAGGTGATAAAACAGGAGTGGCTCGTAAATGAAAACCACAGCAGTGATAATTTATTATTATCAGGAATGGTGGCATTTCCTGGACCAGTTCTGCCCTCTTCATATTTGGCCTCCGGGGACAGATTTGGGGCCCATGCCCACCTTTCATAAGAAATGTGTCTGAGCGAGGCCTTTTTTTGGAGGACTTGCAGGCCCAGGCCCCAGGCAGTTTCTTCACTGTGTGCCCACAAGCAGACCTTCCCAGGGGACCCATAGCCGTGTGCCACCCGCCAGCAGCCTTGTGGCATGGGCCAGCGTGGGCTTTGGACAGGAGCAAGTGCTCTCGCTCTGCCTTCGTTCCTTCTGAGGCGGCTGCAGAGCCCCACGGGGAAGCAGGGTGGGTGGTGGGGGAGCCGCCTTTCATTCAAAGCTCCTCAGAACTCATCAGTGCCCTTGGCGTTATGTGACTTCATGTTTATGTTCTATTCTCCATGAGTTATAACAAGAGCTCACACGGCCAAGGTTCTCTTTCAGAGGATGTGGAGGATGACGAGTTGATACGGGAAGAAGTCATTCTCTCTCCAGCCCCATCGATGCCCAAGCTTCAAACAGTGTCAAAGCCAATCGACCTCTCAGTGGCAAAGGTAGGTGTCGGCTTACAAGTGCCAGTTGACACATCTTGATTTGCGTGGGTGTGGGTGAGGTGCTTGTGAGCCCTCTGGCCCCACCCATGTCAGTGTAACCTCTCGGTCATTGTTACCAGGGAAATTCGGGTGGGATGCAGAAGGAACCCTGTATGGAGAGGCAGAAAAGGGAGCCTAGTCCTGGGCTCCCGGCCCTCTCCACCTCCTCCCATCCAGACACTCCAGGGTCCTGTTCTTCTGCCCCTGAGCAGCCTCGCCTCACTGCAAGGGGCCTCCCGAGCTGGGATGGCAACGGGACGGCTGTCCATATTAGACTGGCCCTGCCCCTGCTCGCGTCCTCAGGCTGAGTTGCAGTAAGGAAGGAAGGGACAGTGCTGGCCATTCCTCAGCACGCTCTGGGTTAGCACCAGCGGTCTCCCCGAAGGACATCTGGGGAGCAGGGCCCTGGCCATAGCCGCCTCCTCTGCAGAGGTGTCTGGAATTCCTCACCACCTCTGCTGCTAGGTGGCTTCACCCCTCCCTTCAGCCAGCGGGGTGAACTCTGTGCCTGCTGTCTGGCCCTCACTCTTCAGCTGGGATCCAGGAGGAAAAAAAAAAACTCCTGGGGACACAGCTGATCCCCTTGTCTTCCTACTTACTAAGTATTTACTCAGCACACACGATTGAAAGGCAGAGATTTGTCCAAAGGTTTTCTCTCCCCTCTTCTCTCTTTTTCTTCCTTCTTTGGAAACCACCAATGGTCAGGTGTGTGTCAGTGACCCTGAACCTGGGAAGAAGCACGCTGGCTGTCTGTGGCCCCGGGGCTGTGGTTGTCTGCAGTGGGCACTCATGTTTTGGGGAGGGCCCATAGAGGCCCATGGAGACCACCCAGCAGTAGCCTCTCCAAAAGCAGCCGGAGAACTGGAGGCCCACACAGAGCAAAGGAGGGTCTACTCTGGGGCTCACCACGCCAGGCAGGTGGCTCATAACGCTGTGACCTGGAGACTGCGCTGCGCCTAGCTGGCAGCTGTCATTCTGTCATTAAGAGAGCAGACATGCACTTCAGCCAGAAAACTCTAGTGCCTCTGAGAAGCTCAGATTAAGTACACGGGTGATTGTCTTGGTGCCCGGAACCAAACCAGGACGGTGGGCTCGCCCTCCAGGCTGTCCTGTGCCGCCAGCCCACACCTGATGGCCTGTAGACAAATGCCATCACCGAGACTTTCCTTGTACTTACTGAAAAAGAAAATTTAGAGGGAAATAATCTGAGTTTGTAGGGCAGACCTAACCCAGAGGGGGGGTCTGGAGAGGTGGCATCGGAACCCACTCGTGGGCCTCTTAGAGCCTCTGGACACACAGCCATGGTGGAGAGAGAGGAGGTAGCTGGCATGGGCAGGGGGTGTCCGTTTGGCAGAGGGTCTGCCTTTCTGTCCCAGGGCTGGGCAGTGGTGTTGGGGGGCGCTCTGGAGGGTGGCGTTGGCTGGCGGGAGGTGAACCATGAGCTCCATGTCAGGCGGAAGTTTAGAGAAGACAGAGCTGTGAAAAAATGAGGTGGGAGGAACTCCTTTGTGGGCGGCTGGGGTGTTCAGGCCATGGTCTCCGGAGAGCACTCGTAGGTGACATTGTAGAGGAGATTCCTACATGCAGTAAGGGGTTATCCTCGTGCAGGGGCTGACAGACCATTTCTCTGAAGGGCCAGAGAGTATGTTTTTGACTCTCTGTTGCAACCTCTGAACTCTGCCATTGCAGTGTGACAGCTGACCCTGACAGAATGTAAACACATGGGCATGGCCATATAAAAAAACTGGGGGAAAGGCGGGTTTGGCCGTGGCTTTGCTGAGCCCGACCTCCGGCACCTGGGAGCTTGAACAACATAGCCTGAAGCCCAAGGGTTCTGATTCAGTTGGCCTGGCCTGTGGCCCGAGCATCAGGCTTGTTAGGAGCTCTGTAGGCGATTGTAACATGCAGTGAAGAACTTCCAAGTTGCCTTGTGAAACTAAAGGTTCGTGTTTCAAGTTCCCTCTAAGGAACCTAAACAGGCCTTGGCCTGGGCCAGCATGGGCTGGCTCGGTTTACAGACCTTCCAGAGGTGAGGCCCTCAGGGCCGATTTTATCTTTGCCTCAATATGAGAAGGATGGGTTTGCAAATAAAAGGGAGGTAGACAGCCCTGGTGGAGGATGGGCCACCCTGCCGGAATCGGACACCGGAACCCTGCTGGGGGCACAGCAACTGAGCAGTGTGTTGTTTACGTTTAAAAGCTCCAATAAAAACACTTTCTTCTTTTGACAGGACTTGAAGACCGTTCTGTTTGGGTCCAGCACTGGCTGCTTCAGTGAAGAGTGGAAACTCCAGAGCTTTTCGTTCAGTGATGCAGCCCCGCTGAGATATGGCATCGTGCAGAACAAGGCAGGCTGCTTCTAAGCTTGTCCAGGGCCTTCCTGCGGTCCCCTTGAAGATAGGGGGGATGCACCCCACTTTGGTAAAACATACGAACATTACCTGGGCTCCGCAGTGCCCCATTTGCTGGCTGTCACCCAGTGCAGGAGCATCACATGGCCACCAGAGCAAGAGCACAGGCCCTGACTGTGGGTGCTGCGTGGTGTTGGAGTCCCCCAAGAGGGAGTGGAGGAGGCCCTACATCTGGCAGGGGCGGGGCAGTAGAGAGGGACCGAGGTTGAGCACAGAGACATGGTTTTGTGGGGGAAAGGATGCTCGAGGCCGGTGGAGCATGAACAAAGCGGGGTGGGGGTGGGGGTGTGTGAGAGTCTGGGGGCTGCAGAGGCAGCAGCATGAGATGCAGAAGCATACGAATAGGTGGTGTGATGTAAGACAGGGAGACAAGTCAATTGTGGTGGGGTTTGAACATGGCTTATACCTATTTCCTAAGATGTGCACTTTAAGGGCCAACAGACCCTCTAAATCCCACGGTTGAACTGGCTTCCATTTCCCAAGACCCAGAAGTTCCCTCCCCACACCGCTTATTCCACCCACACCGCCTGGGGGAGAACCCAGGACAACAGCTTCTGTCCCCAGTAGGCCATGCTCAGCTCATCTTCTCGCCCAAGTCAGGGGCACCCGTGGCTTGCTGCTCCGACCACCCTGTACTTGTTGGTGCCTACAGGGATGAGCTCTTCCAGGACCCCACTCAGGCTGATGGGGAGGGGACAAAGACATGCTGAATCGGTGCCGAGGCGGGCCACAGGCTGGGCAGAAGCAAGCTCATATAAGCGGAGGCTGCCAAAGGCCTGGCTTCTAGCTGGGATGGTTGGGAAGGGCCTCCTGGAGGAGGAGGCTGTCAGGATGGGCCTTGCAGTCTGGGGAGACAGTTGACACCCTCAGCCAGTGGACATGGAGACATTTCCTGGGTGACTGGAAACCTATCATAACATCCCTGGCTCCACATTTACTAGTTGTGGAGAGTCACTTTCCCCCATCAGACATTGCAGACTCACTCCTCCCGCTGGTGATGGGTGCTTGGACCTTTGTCATCCCCTCTCTGGGACTGGGGGTCAGCACCTTGTAGGAGGGGTCACCACGTCGGAGACACCTGTGTCTGAGGCTGTGGCTCGGAGGGGTCCCTGTGCTCTGTCATCTGTGGGCAGAGGTTGGCTCTGGAGGTCACTTCACTGGCACTCACGCGTGTCCTTCTTGGCAGGGTGGTCCCTGCGGAGTCCTGGCGGCTGTCCAAGGCTGTGTCCTACAGAAGCTCCTGTTCGAAGGAGATAGCAGAGCTGACTGCGCTCGGTAAGTCAGCGCGCATTACCGCCAATAACCTGCTTGTCCTCTCCTGAGTGTCCAGAAAAAACAAGCAAGGAAGCGCGTGTGTTCCTGATATTTCCTGTCTCCTGGAAGGGAAAATGGAGGCTGGCAAACAGGCCTGTGCCGACCAGTGCAATGGGGGAGTGCGTTTCGTGAAGGCAGAGAGGGTAGCCCAGTGCTGCTCCACAAGGTGGCATCGGAGCTGAAGCCATGCCCTCTCCTCGGTGTGGGGGCTGCCCGGCTGCTGCCCACACCCATGCTGACCTGCTGACCCTGCCCCAGAGTCCAGGCCTCGCCTCCTCCCCTCATTACCTCACCTCTGCCGACAGCCGCGTGGCGCATTCCAGCCAGCCCCACAGAACACTGCTTCCACGCCCTCGGCTGTTTGTGTTCCAGCTCACACATTAAATGTTCACACATGGGCACCCTGCTCTCACTCTCACCTGCTCAGCAGACACTTCTGGAACACTTCTGTGCAGGCACAAGTGGTGCGGGGCCTCTGTTCTCCAGAACGGCCCTGTCAGGGTGATGGGTGGGTGGAAGGCTGCCATCTGGCACCCTGGCGGGTGCAGAGGCAGATGGACGGGGAAGGTGCTGTGACCGGACTGGGGCCAGCACGTCCTTAATGAGGAAGCGCCTTCTCCCCTTTCCTCCCTGCTGGCCCAGTTACGAGCTTGTTGTGTTTTTAGTTGAAATAGAACATACAGAAAAGTGCACAATCCCAAACTGCACAACATATGTGTGTTCTGCTTAATGAATTATCACCAAACCACATGCCATGATTACATCATCCAGATCAAGGAAGGAAATATTTCCAGCACCCTAGACGAATCTGCCTGCCCGGGAGACACCTCCATTCTCCTCCCCGCAGTTGTAACTAAACAGACTCTAACATTGTGGTTCAGTTTTGCTGGTTCCTGAACTTTAATTAAAAGCACTTGTTTTTTGAACTAGCCATTTCATCACTCTTTTTTTTAAGCTTCGGTGTTACGAAGACAACAAAGCCTGTTCCTCATTTATTCAGGGTCAGACTCGGGAGAGACACCAGTCTCCGAGCTAGACGTCTAGCTGAGTGCGCTGCAAATAAACACTTACCGGCTTCCATGATTTTGCCTTAGACAGGGTCCAACTGAAGGTAGCTTGTCATGCTTGGCATTTTATAATTTGTCCAGTTGCTTTAAAAAGTAATAATCAAGGTGTTTTTTTGCTCAAGTCAGAGATGCTAACCATAAGCATAACGATATCTTGCTTGTCCTCGTTCTCACCGCCCCAGGTGCATCCGTTGCTGTGTCTGCTGGTGTGGGTCTGTCCCCAAGGCCTGCCCTGCAGGGCCAGCCCAGCCAAGTGTGAGCAGCTTCCAGTTCTTGTTGTGGGCAGAGCCCTGCCGTTGACCCCGCCCAGAGGCTGGCACAGAGCGCTGTGCTCAGGAACGCTCCTGCCTGCCTGTGGGCACGCCCAGTGTGGGGTCTGGCTGCCCCCCGGGGCAGGGACTTCCATTGAGTGCACCTGTCCCCACTGGCCTCACTGCCCTCCTCGCACTAGAAGGGAGCACTCAGGGGGACTTAGCAGGTGCTCAGAGGGGAGACGGGCTCCGTGAGACTGCTGTAGCCTTGCCCTCTTGGCACCTACAGTGGAACGTGAGGGCCAGACCAGCAGACAGGAGGTCACAGGGGACACGCAGAATGCTAGGGTTCACCTGGGTGCAAAGAGGGTTGGGCAGGCTTGCTGGAGGCCTGACATTGTCATCTTACCTAGATCTGGTGGAAGAATAGGGTGGCTGATTCCCGTTCACTCGCACCCTTATGCACGCTCGTTCCTCCCTCAGCTGCCCTTTCCAGCAGATCCCTTATATTTCTTCCTTGCTCTCCAGGCTCTGCCTGCTGGCTTCTCAGTGCCCAGAGGCCGTGACTTCAGGGGGCCTTCCCGGGCCTCCCCATTTCAGACAAATCTTGGCCTGCCCCCAGCCCCCCTCCCCAAGACTAGTGCCCGTTCATCCATGTTGCTGTCATTGTCCGCCCAAAGCTGCCATCCCAGACTCAGGCCCTATGAGAGCACGGGCCTTCCTGGGTCACCTGGTTCACAGCCTGTCCCTGGCATCCAGCTCAAGGCCTCGTCCACGGGATTTCTGCTGAGTGAACACATGGGCAAGTGCGTGCATTATCCAGACCAAAAGGGAGGGGGAACGGTATTCCAGTAAGAAGAACAGCGAGTGCCAGGGCCTGAGGGCAGGAGAGCGGGGCTGGGAGAGGAGCTGGAGTGGCCAGGGGTGGCCAGGGCAGAGTTTGGAGGGGCCAGACAAGACTGGGGCTGGCAGATGGGTCAAGGACAGGCTGCCAGGGGGCCTTGGGGCCTGGCCGCCTGCTCAGGCCCAGCCTTGGCCTTGGCCCTCGTGGGAGATGTCTTACAACTCTTTTCAGCTTGATGCTTCATCACAGCTGCTTTCGGCTGCGACTCTGGACTATGGAGAGAAGTTGTGGATGGTGTTTCGGTGGTCTGGACAGGGGTTTTGAGTTGGTTCCAGGAATGGCCTTGTCCACCCAGGGTACTAGGCAGGGCTAGTTCGGTACTGCCCACCCTGCATGCTCACTAAAGGGATGTGAGAGCCCTTGGCTCCAGGCATGTCCTTGGGATAGAGTCTGCTCTCCACACCAGAGATAAGAGCAAGGGTTCTGGAGGCAGAAAGCCATCCTGATTGGGGGCCAAAGTGGGCTGTGGATGGAAAGACAACTGCCAGCTGTGGGGAGTGAGGTTCTACCCACCCACTGCCCACTGGCCAGCCACTGGCCGAGCGTGGATGCAGTGGACTAGTTTCTTCTGATGGGTGTCTGTTTGTGTACGTGCTGGCCAGATGGAAAGCTCTGCTGAGGCTCTGCTGGGAAGGGGGGGCGCAGCCCTGGCCTCCAGGGTTCCCTGTCTGCGAGACCCTGAGACAGGGGTGGAGGCAACCCTCGGAGGCCAGGGTAGGGGGTCTGAGGTGGGTCCTGGGGGCACAGGTTGGAGGCGCAGGGGGGGCGGCTGCTGGCTGCTGGGGCTGTGTGTGGCTGTGCCTTGGGGGAAGGAGCCCTACTCTGGGGGAAGGTTGCCTGCTGGCCAGGGCTCCTCCTCTAGGAAGCATCTGTGCTGCTCCTTGTGAACCCCTCCTTCTGCCCCAGGCCCTGCCCGCTGAGCTGCTCTGTGAGCAGGTTAACCACAGTGGGCCAGCTACCTGCTCCCATAGAGCGCAGAGTGGGCCTGAGGGTGAGAGGGAAGAGCGGAAGGCTTGGCCCAGGGACCTGGGCTCTCTTGTCCAGCAGGGGCTGCTGAAAACACCTCAGGGGACTCATGGAGAAGTAGCTCTGAGGAGGACACTCCAGGGGAGGCCCTGGGGGTGATGGGCCGACTCCGCAGAGATGTGAGCCTGCTTTGGGGCTGCAGGGAGATTGCAGCTGGGTGCGGAGAGCCTGCCTGGATTCAGGCTGCAATGTGGGTCAAGTGAAGGCCAAGGGAGCCAGGGGCTGGTGGCAGCAGAGGGAGGTGTGAGCCAGTGAGGGCAGAGTCGGAGCTGATGCTTTATTGAGGTGATGGCCTGGGTGATGGCCTGCAGGTCAGAGGCCCCAGGGAGTCCCTTTTCCAAGTGGGCATCATGCAGCCTGTAGCTGCCCTGCTGAGGCTGGGGCAGTACCCGGCTCTGTGCTCCATAGCCTGTCCCCAGCTTGGGGGTGCTAAAGAGCATGGGACCAGGGCCTGGAGACCTGATGGTGTGGGGGAGCAGGGCCTCCCCTCTTGCACCTGTGAGTCTCTGTCCTGCCTGACACTGGCCCTGCAGATGAAGTCCTTGTGAATGAATCATCAAGGGCTATGTGAGTGAGGAGGACCATGGACATCACTTGCCATGGTACATGTAGGGAAACTGAGGTCACATCTGGCATCAGTGGCAGAGCCAGGCCTGGCATGGGACGCCCTGCCAGTTGCACACACTGCTGTGCCTGAAGGGCTGGGAGGGGCCGGCGCTGGGAGGCTGGAGCCTCAGGACCCCAAAACCCCTGAGTGCTGGACGCCCAGATGGCCTCTCACTGACCGACTCTGGCTCAGTGTTCTGTGAGGGGCTGTCTGCAGAACCTCCTCTCTTTTTCTAATTTGGAAAAAAGTCAATACTGAAGAGTACACAGAATAACACAGCAAATACCTGAGGACCTGCTGTCTCAAGTGAGCAAAGGGTGACACTGGCATCTCTGCAGGGACCTGTCAGTCTCCAGCGTCTCTGGTTTCATTGATTCGTTTCTTCAGTTTTAATATTGGTTGATTGGGCCATTGATGTTCTTCATGGGCTTTGAATGCTGGTGTGGGCTTGAGGCTTCAGTGTTCCCTTTGACTCTGAAATTCCGAGATGTCAGAAATGACCCATTTAAAAAAAAACAAACAAACCCGGGCACACTGCTGTCTCTTCAGGAACTCCTGGCACAGCACACCTTGGCAGTGCCAGCAGCCGGCGAGCTCTGTGTGGGGGGCTCCAAGACCCGTGGACCGAGGGGCTCCTCGTTTGCCGTTCCTGGGCTGGCTCTGCCCAGCCTGCAGGCCTGGGGCGGCAGAGGCCCCCTCCCGCCCGCTCCCTCCCTCCCCAACTGGTGGGGAAACGGTCTGTGAAAGGCGCCCCGAGGATGCGACCATGCCCTCCTGTGAAGCCATGCTGAAATAAAGGCTTCTCGGCAGGGGGGTGTTTTTCTGGGGGACTGTCTGGCTTCGTTAAGGCCTGTTGCATCAGGCCGGCGGCTGGCCTCTCTCCAGTTGGGGAGCACAGAGCCCGGCAGCAGGACTGGGGTTTTTCCACTTGAGGAGGAAGGGTTGTGCCAGCCGGCCAGCTGGTGGGAAGAGACAAGCGACGGGCCCGCATTGCCCTGCAGGTGTGGACAGAACTGCAGACAAGGACACTGTCCTCTTGCCTTCACTCCTCTGAAACTGGAGGATCTGAGGCCCAGAGGAGGAGGGGCCCTTGCCCAAGACCCCTCCAGGGACATTGGGAGCAGCGCCAGGCTGGGAACCCAGGTCCAGTGGCCCCCAGGCCAGCCTGTTTCCACCCCCTGCAGCAGCCTTTGATTGCGAGAGGGAGCAAGTGGACATACCAGCCTCCATTCCTTGCCTGAGGTTTCTCTAACAGACTAGTCAGGCTGCTTCAAGGTAATGAGGGTGGAGGCATCTCTGAAAGACATGGGCGATGTCGGCAGCGCAGAGGGAATTGTCTGCCCACTCCCACCCCTCCCCAGACAAGTGTCTCCACCCTGCACTCCTCTGGGGCTTAGACTCTTACAGAAGCTCCTGTGGGTGCAGAGCCTGGTCAGGAGCGAGGTGCACTGTAGGGGTTTGATGAATGCGTGTCTGGCCAATCAAGATATGCAGGACCATCCTTGTCACCGAGCTGTGCCAGCGAAGGCAGACTCTGAGCTATTTGGGGATGGTGGGGTGGGCAATCGAACACATCACCCCCCTTCTCTTGATTCCCATCTGGGTGCACACACGTGCACACATCCCTGTCTGCCCCGGGGCCGGTTCAGTGGCAGGATGGCTAGACCTGAATGATGCTTAGAAGCATCTGGCCCAGTGCCCCGTTTATGGCCAGTGAGGGCAAGGGGCTTCCCGAGGCCTGGGAGCCAGGAAGGGAACCCAGGGCTGAGCGCTGCCCTCACCCCACTCTACTGTGCTTTCTGGAAAGCTGTGTCTCACATGAGCCAGCCAGAGGAGGCTCAGAGAAGGATGGAGAGGCTGGAAAAGTGATTACAAGGAAGCCCAGAAAAGAATGAGGACTTTTGTGCATAAACAAAGGGGTTCGGAGGGTCTGTGGCCAGGAGCATGATGCTGAAACCCTGGGCTCAGAGGCAAAGGGAGGCTGGTTCTCAAAGCCGAAGGCGCCAGGCACTTGGTTCCATTCCCCACCTTCTCCGTCCTCCCTGAATGCTGTTTTAAGATTTCTAATTTTTACTGCGTGATTTGGGACAGCTCGTTTAGTCTCTGTGCCTCAGCTTTCCCACTTTGAGAAGGGGATTATATAGTGCCTGCCTGCTCCCCAGGCTGTTTTAGCAACACTCTGAGCCCTGGAAATGGAAATGGAAAGAAGCGTCTGTCTGTATCCGGCTGTTTCCCCTCCTCCCTCTTATCCACTTCACCCACCAGGGGCCTCTCAGGTACCCTTTTTTTTTTCTTCCTAAGCGATCCTTCTGCCATTTTTTGGCATTGATGACTACTCACCCTTCTTACAGCCCTTTTGTTCTTCAGACTGTGGGGTAGCACCGCCTCCCGGCCCTGCCTCCTCTGCTCCCTCCATCCTCAGCCACCACCCCTGCCCTTCCTGTCCTCTCTCTGGGCAATTTTAGCCACTCCAAGTGCCAAGAAACCCTCAGGTGCTGGTGGCTTGCAAACCTGTACGCCGCCCTGGCCACTCTCCTGGGCTTTAGATGTGCTCAACAGGTTCACCTGGGTGTCCCATGGTCACCTCTGACTGCCTTCCCCTCCCTGGTCCCCAAGCCGTGTTCTTCGTCTCGAATCCTTCCTCTCCGACATCCCCACACTGTATGACTTCTAAGTTGCTGGTCAGTCAGGCCTCGGCCTGCAACTGGGGTCTTATTTCCTTGTAACCAGTGGGGTGAAGACCACTGCTTGCATAAGCTGTTGTCTCCGGGGGTCCAGGGGTCCAACCGGGCATTGCCAGGGCAGGGCATGGCCTAGCCTTTGCCTGGCGTGGCTTTCCTTCCTCGGGTGGCAGCGGGTCTGTGGCCTGTCTGCTGGGCCTCCTGGGCTATTAGAACACACCACCCTTTCTTACACACACCCCGGGGCCAGCCCAGTCTCCAGTCCCCGCTGCTCCTCCTCCAGCCCCGCCCAGGGCCCCTCCCTCTAAGCCTTTCCCTTAGTCTTCATCAGAGGAGGGACCTCCCAGGCTCTGCAGGAACCCCTGTGGGTGACGTAGGAAAGGGTGGGTCACCTTCCACAGGGCTGAGCTGTCCCTCGTTCGTGTCCCATAGACATAAATGCACTTCCTCTTCCATCCTCAGGCAGCTGCAACCTTCGAGTGCCCGCAGGACCCACTGCCTGGCCCTGGCCATTGCGGACATTTTGTGGCGGGCCGGGGGCCACGAGAGAGCCGTGGTCACACTGTAAGTGCTTCCTGGGGCTGTGCCGCTACCACTCAACCTGGGGCTGGCCCAGCTGTGGGCAAGCCGGCTGGGAGTCGTTGGGATAAGGACCGCACTGTGTGCCCTCCCAGGCCCCTGCCCTGCGCCCCACACCGGGGCCAGCCCAGAGAGCCAGCCTGATGTGCGGGGTAGCCCGCGCGGGGACGGGCTCGCTCTCGCCCAGGACGGTGTCGGGTCTGCCCTGCCTCCCTCCTGGGGGAGCTCTGGGAAAGGGAACCGGCCCGAGAAGACCTCTGACCCAGCAGCCAGCTCCCCTGATCCAGAAGCCTCAGAAAACAGCCTCTCAGTTGACCCAGTCACCCCCTGATGAGTACCCCTTCCCCAGTGCCCAAAGCACACTCTGTTCGCTCTGTCGCTTGGACCCCCCCTTCTTCTGAGGAGGGAACTCAGGCGAGGGGTTGGTAGTGGAGCCAGCAGCCTTGGCCTGCTACCTCCTTCCTACCCAGACAGAGGGTGCCGCCCTTGGAACACACTCAGATGGCTGGCTGGCTTCAAGGCCTGGCCCTGCAGCATGGAAGTGTCTCTTCGCAGGCCAGGCGGCTGAGCTTTAGTAAAGGGGTGTTTTGTCCCAGCGCTGTTGCTCATTGGCTCTGTGACCTTGGGCAACCAATGCAACTTCTCTGTGCTGCATCTGTTAACTCATCTGGAAAAGGGGGGTGATAAAGATTATATCGTATGACAATTATGAGGAAATTAATGAGTTAGTGTAAATAAAATGATGTATGATGAATGACAGCATTATCTATCTAAGTTGTCACTCCATGTAAATAGATGAAGACTAACAGCAGAATAGAGCTCTTGGGACGATGTCTGGCACACGCTAGCGCCCCATCAGTGGGTGCTGTCGGCACCATGCTTATCGTCCCTGCTGAGTGCGCGTCCTTGGCACCCTGCTCTCCAGCTAACAAATTAACCTTGGCCCTCAGGATCTGCCGGGCAGCCCTGAGAGCAGATGGGGCAAAAACTCAATTTCTTTTTGTTTGATACACTAAGAAAAAGAAGCCCAGAGAGGGGCGGTGGCTAGGCCGAGGCTACACAGCAGGCTAAGGGCACAGTGGGCCCCCAGCCCAAAGCCAGCTTCCCGTCCAGGTCTCCCTGGGTGGTGGGTTTGGCAGGAACTTCAGACAGGACAGAGGCTGGAGATTCTGACATCCCCAAATACGGTGGGGTGGGGGGCGGTGTGGGCAGCACCCCCGCATCTGGGCAGGCGTTTGTCAGTTGTGGGAGATGCGCAGCCCCCCTCCTGGCAGGACTGGGTTTGGTCACCCCAAGGCTTTTTCGGCTGTCGCTCTCCGTTCCTGTTTTTATTCTTTCTGTTAGAGGCACGCTTTGGCCCGGCCTAGCCGGGAAACGAGAACACCTTGGCTGCCTTCTCTCCCCCGGAGCCACCTTCTCGTTTGTCCTCATTTCGTGGCACACGTGGTTTTGCCCTGGCGCAAGGTCACGTCTTCTTTCCATGCACAGGACTCATGCGTCTCCATTTCCCTTTCAGGCCTTCGGGAACGCAGCAGTTCATTCCAACAGGGAAATACAAAGCAGATGGAGTCCTAGAAACAGTACGACTTTCTGGAAAATTATCACGCAACCCTTGGCTTTGTTTGGGCCCAGTCTCCTTTATTATAAGTAAATCCTTCCTCCACTGGGGCCAGTCTTCCCTGCGGCTGGGACTGCAGAGCCCTCTGCCTGGGGCTGGGGCGAGCAGAGGTGGGGGCTTCAGGGATGGGTTCTTGCCAGACTGGCTTTATGGCTTGGAAAAGGCCGATGGGTGGCCTGTGATGTCGAGGTTGTGCCGAGCCTGAAGTGGCCCCAGCACGTCCGGCATACTGCGGTTGGGCTAAACCCAGCCTTCTCGTGGCCCTCTTCACGTCTCCACGTCCTCTGGGCTTGCTTTGAGACATTGAGGGGGCGGTGGAGGGGGAGGGGAAGGTGGAAGGTATGGAGGAGCGTTGATAGAGCCCAGCATCAGCCGTCAAAACAGACCCAAGGAAGATGAAGGGACAGAAAATGAGAGATGGCCGGCAACACAGAAAGAGTGACTGTCCCCTAAGCTAACCTCCTCCTCGCTGAGCGGTAAACCAATTAACCTCTTCACGGAGGATTTTTGCTTCACCTAGTTTGTGTCGGCTGACCTGGGTCTGGGCCCCGGTGGTCCTGGGAGCCTCTGAAGGGTCTCACTTGGTTGGATGTTTTCTCTAAAAGTAATTTTTCCTGACCTGCCTGAGGAAAGAAGAGACACTCATATTTGCTGCCTTCCACTGGGCTCGGGACTCTGCCTCCCGGGCGTGGAACTGGCCGGGGCGGCAGCTGGGACGGGGCGCCCACCCCAAGGCCGCCTCCTGCCCCAGGTTTGGCTCAGGTGCCCAGGGCTTGGGTGGCTCATCTGTGTGTTTGTGTCTCCTCAGCTCACTCTCCACAGTGTGACCTGCCATGAGGAGCTGGTGGCTTTCCTGCAACAGAGTGTCCATCAGGTATGCACAGCGCTGTGGTCTGTGGGGCGTCCTTGTTAGGTAAGCCATCTGCTGTGTTTGCAGAAGAGACTCTGATGAACCAGAGTCGTGCACCAGGGTGGAGGCCCTGGGGCGTGAGGGGTAGAGGCCAGGAAGGAGCTGGTGCCGGCCCTGGGCTCCTTGGCTGAGCGCGGTGGGTGATTTAGACTGGGGAAGCATAAACTTGGGGAACGGGGGTCCAGTCGCTGCCATTGCATCCTTGAGGGCTGGCCGTGGCTACAACGTACAGGACACTGCCACAGTGGGGCTGCAGTGGGAGGCGGGGTGGGGTCTGAGTGAAGGGAAGCAGCTGATAGACGGTGGTTGTGAGCGCTTGTCTCTGTCCAGTGGGAGGCAACCACCTCTGGAAGCAAAGGACCCTTTGTCAATGCACAGGGGGCCCAGCAGCAGTGGGAGAGGTGACAGGAGTGTGGGTTTCTGGGCTGTGTCAGAGGCCTGGGCACTGTGGATGGAGACCCTGCTCGGTGCAGGCCCTCATGTGGGACCCTGGAAGGCAGGGCAGGGCTGGGCAGGTTCCCGAAACACCCCGTCTGCTAGAGGTGAGGTGTGCCCCCACTAGGGGCCATGAGAGGGGGCGGAACTTGACCTGGGCCAGGAGCAGCGCAGTCAAGGGTTGAGGGCTTTCAAACTGGGGCTGTAGCCCAAGGCTTTGTGGAGGACTGATGGAGCTGAGTGCCCCGGGGGAGAGAACGTGGTCTCCGGAGCCATCGGCCTGGCTTAGTGTTTAGGATACAGCCCTCAGTAGCTGCGTGACCTTGGGCCTCAGTTTCCTCACCTGTACAGGGGGGTAATAGTAGCATTGCCTGCCTCAGAGCACCATGCAGAGTGCTCAGCTTGATGTCCCCAGGGTGGGTAGTGTTCCTCGGGAGTGTCACAATCACCACTGTCATAATTATTTAAGGGGCCTCTTGACAGAGGCCACTAACAGGCACACAGAAAGGAGAGGGAAACCTTGCAGAGGGAGGGCACGGCGTGGCCCCAGGACAGGAGACCACTGGCCCTGAGACCCCCGACCGCACAGCCTTGCCTTCTGATGCCCCTGTGTCCCCCGAAGGGCGGAGAGTGCCCAGCCACTCTCTGGAGGGCAGGCAAACTATCCGGGCCTCCTCTCCACCTTCTCTCCAGCCTCTGGGCCACGGGCTCGGCTCTGAGGCTCCAGAGAAGGCGTTGGCAGGTTTGGTGGTGAGCCTGGAGGGTGGGAGAGCTCACTGGACATGGGAGCAGGCTGGATGCTCCCAGGGTCACAGCCCTCTCTTCCGGCACAATTCACCGAAGAGTGGGATGTGTCCTGGCCTTCTCAGCACACAGGCCCCTTGGGCAGGGAGGCGGGACCTGCCAAGACCGTGGGAGGCAGCTGTGTGGTCACCAGGGCACTGGGCCACCTGAAATCCTCAGCCCCGGAGCTGTTGCCTGGCTCAGGTGCCCAGGCCTGACTCTGACCCAAAGGGCACTGCCTTTCTGCACTGGCTGCTCTGTCCGGGGGTCCGTGGGAGGGCTCTGATGTGGGAACAGTCCTGGCCTGGGTGTCAGGAGTCTCAGTCTGGCTGTCACTTGCTGCCTGTCCCCGCTGTCTCTGGTTCTCCATGGACATAACCTGTGGGTCATCTGCCGACTCAGTGCACTCCCCACCTGGCCAGGGTGGCTGTAGTGGCTGTAGCAGGGCCTGAGGACCTTGGTGCCATGTGGCCTCAGGAAAAGTCACTGGGCCCCAGTTGCCTCATCTGGAAAAAGGAAGATGGAGCAATTAGTAGGTAACTTCCAGCTCCGCACCATCCAGTCACGCTTCTTAAAGAAGAAACATTAGCCCTGGCTGGTGTGGCTCAGTGGACTGAGTGCAGGCCTGAGAAGCAGAGGATCGCAGTTCGATTCCCAGTCAGGGCACATGCTTGGGTTGCAGGCCAGTTCCCAGCAGGGGACGCATGAGAGGCAACCATACACTGATATTTCTCTCTGTCTCTCTTTCCCTTCCCCTCTAAAGATAAATAAATAAAATCTTTAAAAAAAAAGAGAGAAGAAACGTTAAATGCATGGGAATGTCTTCCAGATTAAGTGCCAGGCACTTGGCATGAGCAGAAAGGAAACCGATTATTAAACACTCCCGAGCGTGTGGTGACCCAGCAGTGCACCTGCGAGAGGAGCAAAGCCTGCTGAGGTCAGTGTGTGTGACGTGACCCGGGAGGCCAGGTTCTCATTGTCTGGTGAAGCAGATTATGAAGTCGCTGAGGCTGGACAGGGAAGTGACCTGAGAGACTTCTGGAAGGGAGAGGAGGGAGGGGTTCTTGGGGTGACTGACCCCATGTCCTAGGCATCTGAGGCTCCGTCCCTGCGGGCTGATGGCCCTCCAGTGACCCCTCAGCAGCAAGGTCTTCTTCATGGAGCGTAAGATGGGGCCTCTCCCATCCCTTGGCCTGTGCCCCCAGGGTGTCCATGAAGCCCAAGCAAGACAGTGACTGTGAACAAGGTCAGCGAGAGGCCAGTGCCAGGGGCAGCAGCCACCTCCTTTCCGTCAGCCTGTGGGCGCAGCACAGCCCCCTCCCCGCCCCGGTCTGGGTGCATGTGGTCGACAGCTGGCCCGCGCTCTGGAGGCTGTGTTTCCCCCGCAGCTGATGTTTCTGCTGGAAGCCAGTGTGCTGCCTCAGCACTGCCCTCAACAAATCCATTTTTCATGGCCTGGGCCTGCGAGGGCTTCCTCGTGCCAGGCCTGGAAGTGCACACCGAACCATCGCTGCCCAAAATAAATAGCCTCTCTGCTGCGTTTTCATTACCGTTCACCCTTGGGGCAAGATGTCTGGCTGCCCCCCACCTCTGTGAGCGGGGAGGGAGGGCTGCCTCTGCCGTGCCTCCGATTTCGGTTCCTTGGTGGGCGCGGTCTGCAGGCCCAAGCAGAGCGGGGAGTGGCCCTGTCTCCCTAGTGGGACCAGACATTTTTCCAGACCCTAACGGTGGTTTCTGGCCTTTCAGTGTCAGTGTCTGGCCCTGTGGTCTCCCATGTCTTGGCAGCTTGAACTTGATGAGATCATTTTAATAATTTTTTTAAAGAAAATGGGATATTGGTGTCATTCAGTCATGTTCCGGCAAGGGCCAGGAGCTCAGGCAGGGGTCATTTCCTCACCGTTTGAAGTCCCACCTAACCAGTCCCCACGGAGGCCCTGGCCAGGGCTCTTGTGAAGGTCTCCTGCGGGTGTTACAGCACCGGGGGCGGGGGGTGGGGCTGGCCGGGGCACTAACAACGGTTTTCATGGACAGCTAGGGGTTACGGTGGGTACCTGTGTCCCTTACTTCACTGCAGCCCTGCAAGTGGGCAGGCATTGCAGGCACGGCCCAGGGGCAGCAGGCTGAGAAAGGGTGGCTTCCTCAAGACAGTGTGCGAATCCAGGCAGAAGTAGGCAGGCATTTTGGGAGGGGAAACTGAGGCTGAGAGAACTTTGCCACTCCCCAAGGCAACATGCACGTCTGTGGTTGAGCTGCGGCAAGGACACAGGCGGCCCAAGTCCTCCGGGCCCGTGTTCCCCGCTGCAAGGAGGTCGGCACTGCTCTCCGCAGTGGTCAGAGCGCGTCCGCAGACAGGGCCTTTCAGGGCATGCACCCTAACCTAGGGAGATATGCGAAGTGGGTGGTCATCATCCTCGCTTTGCAAGTGGGGAAGCCGAGGGTAGCGCAGTGGAGGGCCTGGCCTGCTACCGCAGAATTCAGGTGACACTGGTTTAAGATTGTTGTTGGTTCGTTCATTGCATTTCTACTTCCAGAAAGGATTTCAAGTTACTCGTTAAAAAATCCTGTTCTCAGGGCTTGTTGTGTTCTAACGACCGTAAATTTGCCCTCCTTCCCTCTAGGCCTTGGCATGTGCTTTTCCTCTTGCCTGGAACAGCGTTCCCTTCTCTTCCGATTCCTCCTCGTCCCTTGTGTTTCTGTTCAGACCTCACTCCCTCCAGAAAGCGTCCTGCGCCCCTCCCTCCCGTTTGTTTGCAGAGGACCTAGTGTTTCCCATCAGAGCAGAGCCCCCTCCCCGCCCTTTTCAGTGGCTTTTTCTTCTTCCTCGAGCTCCTTCTCATGAGGGCAGGTCTGTGCCCAGCTGTTCACAAGGAGAAAGCCTCAGCAGCAAGCAGCCTGTCGGCACCGAACTTCACGTTCTGTGAAGGCCACCGACCAGATGAGGAGACTGGGGACGGAGAAGTTGAGAAATGTCCCTGAGGTCACATAGCGGGGAGTGGCGGAGCAGGGATTTAAACAGGCAGCCAAGTTTAGTCTGTGGGCTCCTGTCTAGATTAGGATGAGGCAAGTAAGCTGCTCACCTTGGGTGCAAAATTCAAGGGGGTCCCTGAAACCTCAGTAATGAGCATGAGTGATGTTGTAATGCAGTATCTAAAAAATAACCAAGTTAATTCAAAAAATCCATGAGGAACAAAATACAAAGTTTTTTGAAAGACCAGACCTGCCACTCCCTCAGGCTCTGAGCCCGAGGCCCCGCACAGGGTGGAGGGCAGTCGTGGCAGCCCTCACGGAACACATCTGTGAGAGTGAAACGTGACAGTGAGCACAGGACGCTTGCGTTGCCGACGGAGGCCGCTCCCGCCACCACTGTCTCCTGAGCTTCCAGGACTTGGCAGTCAAGGGTGTGCTCCTTGGTGGGCACTATGTCTGCTCCCATTGTCACTCAGGCTGGGGTCTTTTCACCCCTTAGGGGGTCTGGCTGGTGGGACCTGGACAGGGTCTGCCTAGGGGCCACCCAGCCAGCTCCAGGGCCAGACCGGGGGCAGCTGGCTCAGGGGCAGGCTGCTCCTTGGGCTGCGGCCCCAGGGAAGTGAGAGGAGGGAGGTGTGGGCCTGATGGGCACTCATTCCTTTCTCCTCTTTCCAGTTCGAAGTGGGCCCCTTCGGATGCATCCTGCTCACCCTGTCTGCCATCCTGTCCCGGTCCACAGAGCTGTGAGTATCTTCCTCTCTCCATTGCTGGGGCGGCTTGTCTGTCTGTTCACCCTGCCTCCCCAGAGCCCAGGGTGGTGCTTGGTGCGAAGTGGGCGCTTGCAGCAAGCCTGCGTGGAGGGGTGAATGAGGGCGGGTGGAGGAGAGGGAGCAGTTACATTCTGCATGCACGCGCGTTCACCAGCACCTTCTCTTTGGTCTCCCCACATGTGCTGCGAGTGTGGGGTATACTGCGGCACTCTGTGGCTCCCCTGGGCCATGTGTGGGGAGGGGTGGTGAGTGGCAATTGAGTCCGAACCTGGGTGGTGAGCAAGCAGCCCTGAGAGCTCAGGGGAAGGGGTACGCTCCCCAGACCAAGGCAGTCTGCAGGTTGCGAGGCTCACGTTTACAGCCTTGAGAGGAGCTGGGGCCTGTGCCCAGGGCCTTGGAAGCAGAGGGAGCAGAAGGCTGGGTGGCGACTCCAGGCATCCTGGTCAAAAGTGACCTCAGCTGCTTGAGAGGAATTCCCCCCTCACGCTCGCTCCCCAGGAGCTCTCTACACTTCTTATCCTTACTTGTCACCTGGGCATTGTGTCACTGGGGAGAGTTCGGATTAATGGTGCATTAACAGTCTTGTGAGGTGCAATCGATTGCCCCATTCCCTTCTAAGCAGAGAGCAGGCCCCAGGGGTGTGGAGACCTGGGGGAATGCATTTCCGCTTTGGGGGTGCTTAGAGTGGGGGAGGGTCTGGGCCCAACCCTAAGCTGATGGGCCCCAGAAAGTGGAGAGGCAGCAGGCATTGCCATGTAGTGTCTGGGCCTGGAGGCCCCCATAGGAAGGGACACCGGCTCCTGCCTGTGGCTGGGCCTGGGCCGGCCTGTCCACGCTGCCCATGGCCTCTGGTGCTGCAGGGAGCAGGATGGCCTGGGCTCTGAGGCCTGGTGCCACCGGCCTGCCTGCTGCTGACCTTATTATAAGCACATGTGTGCACACAGCGTGTTCCATGGCATTTTCCTTCTAATCCTGCCATAATGATATGATTCATTCCTGGACTGGGCTCACGTGCACAGAGGCCATAAGCTGCACTGCCTTCTCCCCAGGCCTGGGTTTGCTAATCCCTGGGCTGGTGGGGTTGTGGTGGGGTGGGGGTGGGGCACTGTCTCTAGGAGTGGGCGAGACCTCTGACCTCACTGCTGGGAAGCTGAGCTTTCCAGAAGGGCCAGGCCTGGTGATGTCTAGCTGTGTGATCCTCTCAGCCTCAGTTTCCCCATCTGCACAGCAGCCCCTTTAGTTTGGGGGTCTAGTCTCTGGCTCACCAGCCTGGGATCTGGCCCCATTTACATGCCTGCTTCTGCAAGGAGTGGCTCCAGCTGCAGGGGCTTTGGGAGCCCCTGTCCAGGCTGTTTTTCACCTTGTCCAGAGCTGGTGCGGCTGCTTCTGTCCCCTCCCTGCTCTGCCCACCTCTGTCGGGCACCTGTGGGGCAGGTATGTAGGGAAGGCTGCCTTACTGGACCAACAGAGCCTCATGTAACAGGCCTGAAGTTACAATCCTGCCAAACCCCTTCCTGTTCACTGCAGGCACATGTACAGAGAAGCACCCAGGCACACACACGTGGGGTTCAGCTGCAGCCACCTCCTCCTGTTGTTCTCAGGGCCGGGAAGGGAGAGTGTGTTCGTGACAGCTTCCTTTTCTTCATGGCCCCTGAGGACCCTCCTGGGTTTTGGGGGCGAGGGTTTGAGTCTCCCCTGACCGCTTTGGTCAGCCTGCCCTGCCTTCCAGGGGGACTGGCATAGAGACCTGCACTTGCCTCAGCAGAACACTGGTCAGGCTTGTCTCGCTCCATGGTCTCTCCGTCCTCTTTTCTGAGAAGACAACAGAGAGGACATTCTCATCAGCGCTGGGCAGCAGAAATGGCAGCCCCTGAATCTCAGGAACTTTGTACCTGCCCTGCCCTTTGCTCTGACATTTCACACATGAAGCTCATTCAGCGCTGCAACAGCCCTGCTGGGGGGCACTGCTGTGGTTTCTGTCACCCACCCTGTCTGTCAGAGGAAGTGTGGCTTTGGGACGTGAGTGACCTGCCCCAAGGTCACACAGCTCAACTGGCCAGCCTGACACCAGACAAGGCTCTTTGGGTTTGCTGTTTAAGGACATGAACTTGGGAATAAAACAGACTCCATTTCAGGCTGACTCTAACCCTCTGAGCCTGTTTGTCTGTAAAATGGGGATAATTCCTGCCTCACAAGATTAATTGGAGAAATGAACGTGTGCTTGGCACAGCTCCTGCTGGGGAGCAAGCCTTGGATAATGGCCCCTGCTAGTCTGCTCCTGCCTCCGTGGTGCTCAGGTCCCGCCCTGTCTGGGCTTGGTGCCTCGTGGTGGGGGCACGGCCGCAGGGATGTCCTGCAATGGGTGCTGGGTCCACCTGCGGCTGTGGTCACCCTTGGCAGCACTTCCTGAGTGGCCTGGGGGCTCCCAGGGTGCTGCATGCAGTTCCTCAGATGGGGCAGGAGAAGGAGTGGCGGGAGGGCCCATCCCCGCCCTGGGGCGTGCTGGAGGAGTGCCACTCAGTGCTCTCTTACATGTTGAAGCTCAAGATGACTTTTAGGTGGGCTACCTGACGGCATCTGGCGGGGCACGGGCAGGCCTTGGACCGTGTCTGGGTGTTTCTCCAGACCCACGCTCCCTGCCCTGAGGGCAGCCACTCCATGCTCCCATGGGGCTGCCCGGGACGAGCGTCGGAGTGGGGCTGACCTGTCCTCCCTGGCTCCAGGGGGCCTCCTGGAGGGGCGGCCGTCGTGATTATGAATGACAGGACTGACCAGGGCACAGGAATAGCCGGAACTGTCACCACGTGGCCCAGAGCCTGCGAGAGGATCACGCCGAAACCACTTAAAATGCCACTTCGCATTCCTGGCGTTTCCGAGGGGCCCCCCCGAAGGAGCTGTTCTCACCTTCGCCTCTGGGGAGGGCAGCTCCGGGAATGGTCCACGCCCCTCACAGGCCGGTCACATTGCTGCCCCACGCAGCTTCCCTGGCCTCCCCAGAGCCCCCGTCTCTGGTCTCGGGAGGAGTGCCAGGCCTGGCTCCAGTTTTGTTGTGATCTGCTTGGCAGGGACCGGGAGGCACACCTCCTTCTGGCCTCCTTCCGAGCTAGCGACCTGTGAAAGCCTTTGTTTGTGGGCCTTTGGGCGCCCAGGGGAGTGTCACCCAGCACGGGCACCGTTGGTCAGACGGAGCGGGGAGGCTCGTCCAGGGCAGCCCAGGGGGTGGCAAGTCACACAAAACAAAGCGACCCCCCATTTGCAGCAATGCAGCTGCAGGCACCCAGGTCCCCCGCCTTTGCTTCGCTGGCCCCCAGCTGTGGTACTGACCTGGCCAGCGCCTCAGCTCTTTCCTCTCTGACAGGAGGGGGTGGATTAGTGCTTCTTCACCTCGTTTGTCATGTGATGAACGACATTGGAATTTTTTCTAGAGAAACTGTTCTCTGTAGAAAGCAGATGACGCAGAGCGGCTTTGACTGCACGGCCTCCCAGCCGGGCGCCATGTGGAACCCCTTGCTGCACAGAGGCCCGCACTCTGCAAACGGCCGGGAAGCTGCCAGGCCTTCCTGCTCTAGGTTCAGATTCGGCTCTGCCAGGGGCGTTGGGGCTGTTTCAGGGCCATCTGTTACTGCTCTGGGCAGTCAACCACATGTCCTGGTGGCCCAAAGAGACAGCAGAGTGTCTCAGGTCATATGCTGTTCAGCCAGGGGGAAGCAGAGTCAGGGGCTGGGAAGCCCACCCCATTCTTTACAGACGGCCTGCATGCGTGCAGATGAGAGACGGGTGAGGCTGTGTGTGTGTTGGTGGTTGTGTCTGAGATTGTGGGGTGGGTGACTTGGTTGTGTGTGTATGTGAGTGTGCGAGTATGTGTGTGTGTTAAAGAGTGTGTGTAGGAGCATGTGTGTGCACGTGTGTGAGAGTGTATGTATTTGTAGGAGTGTGTATGAGAGTGTATAGGAGCATGTATACACATGTGAGTGGATGTGAGGGTGTATGTAGGAGTGTGTGCACGCATGTGTGTGAGTGTATGTATTTGTGTAGGAGTGTGTGTATGAGTGAGTGTATAGGAGTGTGTGTATGTATGTGAGTGTCTGTGAGAGTGTAGGAGTATGTGTGTGCATGTGCGTGAGAGTCTGTATAGGAACATGTGTGCACATGGGAGTGTATGTGCATGGGAGTGTGTAGGAGCCTGTGTGTAGGAGGAGTGTGTAGGAGGGCATGTGTGAGTACTGAGGGCACAGCCATCTCTCCCTCCTAGCACAGTTCTCAGATTCAGGCCTGAGGCCCAGGGGCAGCTCTCACCAGAGTCAAGGCCTGCTGTCCCCACCGTCCCCCTACCCTGAGGGGGACCAGGACGAGGGCGTGCAGCCCGGCGCTTCACTCTCCGAGGCAGCAATAGTGGTGGTGGAGCGGCGTTCGGGTGCTGTTTGTCCCGGGCCCCACTGTGAAGCTTCAAGGAGGTTTTCTTTTTCCTACTGAATTTCCTGCCGTCTGTTTTCTTTCCTCAGATCTTGAGTTGCTTACAGTAAATCTCATATTGGCTTTCTTGCCCCCAGCTCCCCTGCAGTGTGAACCATGCGGCCCAGAACTTTCTCCAGTACACACACTCTCACAAGCCCCGAGGGGACTCGGGGCCCTGGGGTGGGGCCGGCTCCGAGCCAGGCTGGCGAAGTAGGGCTGGGTGCACAGCCCCTCGGGGAGTCGATGTGATGGCCAGCATCAGGGAGGGCTTGGGCGGTGCCCGCCAGCAGTTCAAGCCTGGGTGTGGGGAGACAGCTTGTGAACAGAGCCTTTTCACAGAGCACAACCTTGGCCCTTGGTACAGTGGCAGCTCGGCTGCCCCAAGGCCATCCCGAAAGTCCCAAATCGGAGGTAGTTTGCCATGTGCTGGAGTGATTTTTGGGCAGCGTGGCCAGGCTGCGAGGGTGAGGGGCTGCGTGCACAGCGAGCCGGCTCTGTTGCTGTCCAGTTCTCTCCAA